CTCTAAGTTGCTGAGGTTAGCCTTGAACTTAGAATCCTCCTGCGTCTATTTCCAAAGTCACAGTCACGGGGATTACAGGTATGCACCACCACGCCCAGCTACTATTGTCTCCTTCGCTATTATAATCCCAAACCTTGCACGGTGTTAAAAAGAAAATATGTTTTTAAAATAAATAACTCATTAACTAGCCTAATAAATTAATTGGTGGTTATGTCCCTTCCAGCAACACTTCTGCTTCTTTTTCTTCTGTCACTCATAAAATACTTCAGAATTTCCTATCTGTAAACAGCTAGATGTGGGAGTTTCCCAAACTCACTGAAACCCAGTGATAGGTCCATAGTTTAACCACACAAATAATTTAGGAAGAGAAATTGGACCTCCCTCCCAGTTCCTTCCACCAATCACCACTGTTATAACAAATAAATATAAAACCAGACTGGCTTCCTGAAATGTTTACCCTACTCAAAGCCAACACTGCACAATTAGACAATTAGAGGCACAGATACCCATGGGCACACATGTTAGCCACACACGCAAATACACTAGTTTAAGTCAGTGCTGTGAAGGTCAGGGTTTGAGAAAGAACTAGATGGGAGAAAAATTAGAATGGCTGGAGCCATCCCCCAAAGCTGGAAAGAAGTAAGGAATTTGCAGACACTGCCTACGCTCTGACAGGCAGCAGTGACACTCAGCAGCATGATGAGGCCCACGTGCCACCCCTAGCCAACTCCTCACCAGCTTGGGGACTGCTTGGGACAGCCCACAGTGGGTGCCCAGGGGCTGCTGGATTGGATCACTCTTCTATTTTTGGAATGGCCTATACTCCCCTCTGCTTTCTGGCTTACAAGGACAGAGCAGACCGGGATGCCTACTCAGGGAGGAAAAGACAACACATCCTCTTGACTCTTTCACTGCCAAGATGGGGCCCAGGGCTCTGAGAGTAGTCTTTTCAGGCAAACATTTCTGTTCAACAGAGATGGGGCCAAATGAAAATCCCAAACCCTACTTCCTACTACAAAGCAAAAAAACTCAGTTTGGTTTCTATGCTTCTTCCTATTATGATCCAATTCCAGGGCCCATGTTCCAGTTGACCTAAACAAAAATTCTTCCAGCCAAATTGGGAAGACCTCATACTGCCCGGTTCCCAGCAGAGGCCTGAAGAGCTGAATGTGTGACTTGAGGAGTAGGGAAGGCACTGTGGAAATCAGAAACCAGGAAGGGAAGTTGCCTGGTAAAGGACTGTATTCATGAGTCCTTAAATGGGCTTCCATGTCCTAAGAACAAGATGCACCCAAAGTCCTTCATGACCCTTCCAAACCAACACAGCTACTCTTTCAGTCTTTCTTCTCATACAGACTCCCCCAAATTAGAGATTTATGGGACTTCAGAGTGCATCCAATCCAAATCTCTCCTTTTAAGGAAGAGGAAACTGAGGCCCAAGGTCATGCAGCAAGAGCAGAGCAAGGACTTGAACCTGTTTCTGCGGATTCCTGCCTAAGTCTCTGACCTGTAAATCCCACAGGGCTCTAAGCACCGTTCCCCTTCCGGGTTTTTCTCCATCTGGGACCCCCCCATCCCTCACCCAGCCAACCCCTCCTGTCCCCCATTCCCACTTTATTGCCATCCCAACTCTGCAAAGCTCCTTGCCCACCCCAAGCTCACGGCGGAAGGGCTGACTCCACGTGCTTTCCTCCAAAACTCCCACCCACCCAATTCCTCCACCGGCTTCACCCCAGGGTTAGGAGACCCCGCCCCCGACTCCGTCCAAAATTGCACTCTCCTCCCCCGCCCGCGTCGGAGCCCGCACCCGGCCCCGCCTGCGCGGGAGGCCCCGCCCCTCGTCGTCCCCCACTTCCCCCAGCAGCTGCACTCACGCCCCGGCCCCGCTCACCGGTAAAGCCGCTTAGTGTGGAGGACCTTTGCTTCGGGCTCGCTGCTTTCCCCTGTAGGGGGGCCTTGGCTCATGGTGCCCGGGTCCGGGGGCGGCTCCCGGTCACAGGCCCCCGCCACCCACCAGTGCCTCCACCACTGCCGTCTCCGGCCTTAGCCGCAGCCGCCACCGCCGCCGGCCCTGCTCGGCCGCCATCGCTGTGAGGCGGCTGCCCGGGACAGCTCCTCCTCCGCCCGCCAAATCTCGCGATAGCAGCTCTATTGCTGCGGGCCAGTGGCCTGCTGCTCCCAAATCTCGCGGAAATCGTTTTCCCTCCCGGGAAGTTACCAGAACTCACTCTGGGCAGCATGGCCTCTTTCCGGCTTCCCCCAGCTCTTGAGAAAAACTTTATTGGCAAAGCTGCCGGAGAAGAGACAACGAAGCCAGCGAGGCGGCTGAAGCTGAGCTGGGTCTGGGGAGGTGGACTCCCAGCTGGGAGAGTGACTGCTGTGTCCAGCAGCGGTCATTAATCCATCCTTGGGCCTCTTAACCCCTCCCCACTTGAACCGAGCCTCCTTCCGATTACAATGATTCCAACCCCCTTCCCCCAATGACATGGACAAAATTAGGTGTTTGTGAAAGTTTCCTTGGAGAGGCCGAGCATCATGTGGAGCTAAGGCTTTGGAAGATACGGCTATTGTAGAAGCGCCTCCACCTTTCATCGTCCCCTGCCCAAGATTCCCAGCCTGCAAGTCCTCTCCCTAATCCAGCAAACATTCATTGAACACCTGCTGTCTTCCAACAGCATGCTGGGTTCTGGGCACACAGATGAGCTAGCTAGACCCTGTCCCCGCCCTCACAAAGCTCCAATGACCTCAGGGATAAGATGACATAGACATGAGGAGTCAGCCCGGCCAGGTGGTGCACACCTGTAATCCCAGCGATTCAGGAAGCTGAAGCAGGAGTATAGCAAATTCGAGGCCAGCCTCAGCAATTTAGAAGACCCTGTCTCAAGTGACCCATGCCTGAATCCCAGCGGTTTGGGAGTCTGAGGCAGCAGTTCAAAGCCAGCCTCAACAACTTAGCAAGACAAGACCCTGTCTCAAAATAAAATACAAAAAAAAAAAAAAGCTAGGGATGTAACTCAGTGATTAAGTACCCCTGGGTTCAATACCTGATACCCCCCCCAAAAAAAAGAGAGAGAGAGAGAGAAAGAGAAAGAATTAGAAGCCATTTTCTTATATTTCTGCCCCTACTCCCCATCCTCTCATTAAATCAGCTCCATATGTACCTCAGTAGAAGAGCATTTGCCTAGTATGAGAGGCCCTGAATTCACAAAAAATGAAAGATCATCTCCTATCTAACTTGAATACCTATTGCTTTCTAACCCTTAAGCCTAAGCCAAGAAGCAAGGTGTTTGGGGGCCTATGTACACATTATAATGGGAATATAAATCCCTATTCTACCGTTATACCCCTGGCTGCAGGCACTAATGCTTTCCATTCCTGAAACTGCCTTAAGTCCCTCCCACCTACTGGCCTTTCACTTGTGCTTCTTCGGCCTGGAACAATTGTATACTCTGATTTCTCACTGGGTTTAGCTCAAATGTTACTTTATCAAAGACGTTTTCCCGCGGCTGGGGATGTGGCTCAAGTGGTAGCGCGTTCGCCTGGCATGCATGTGACCTGGGTTCGATCCTCAGCATCACATACAAACAAAGATGTTGTGTCCCCCGATAACTGAAAGATAACTATTAAAAGATTCTCTCTCTCTTTTTAAAAAATATTTATTTATTTATTTTTAGTTTTCAGCGGACACAACATCTTTGTTTTGTATGTGGTGCTGAGGATCGAACTCAGGCCGCATGCATGCCAGGCGAGCGCGCTACCACTTGAGCCACATCCCCAGCCTCTCTCTCTCTCTTTAAAAAAAAAGACGTTTTCCCCATAGACATAGTCTTACTGATTTAGTTGTGAGGCTGGCCTCAAACTTGCGTTCCTTCTGCCTTGCCTCCGGGATCACTTGGGATTACACACATGCACTACAATGCCTGGTTGGGCCTTCTTTATTATCTGTTACCCCAATAGAAGATAAGGTCATGGGCAGAGACTTTGACTGTCATCTTCTTCTCCTCTGTGGCTGTGCATAGAAGAGTACATAGCTAATAATAGTTGCTTAATAAACATCTGTTGAATGAATAAATGTGCAGATTGTTTTCTAGGTATCCTACTCCAAGCATGCTTTGGTGTATGAATTCATTCTCCCCCCATACACACACATACACCTCCTGCTTTCCTGAGCTGGGAGCTCTTACACCTCTGCCCCAGGTGTTTAGAACACACACTTACTTCTATGCCCAGCTGTACCCCCATTTTCAGAAAGGATGACGTCTTCTGTTAATGCCTTTTCTGTCGGCAGATTTAGCTGGGCGTGTCCTGCCCCTTTAATCTGGGCCCCACCTGCTCTGGTCAGACAGGTTTGGAGACACAGGTAAAGGGAGGAGAGACAGAAATACTTGCAGAGCCAGCAGAGAGCTGGGCAGCTCTTTCCCGGTTGCTGGGGACCCTCCGTCTCTCCCATCTCTCAGATGAAAAGTAAGAGGGTGTTATGGATCCAATGGGCAAGGGCAAGAGGGTTCCTGAGGAGGTGAGGGAAGGGATTTAGCCTTATCCAGAAACAGTGAGATGGTGGGCGGTACGGAAAGGAGAAAGACAAGAAAGCAACATGGGACACAGCCATGTTCAGACCTAAACATTAGAATGGATAAACCCAGGCCACGTGGATCAGCGAGGGGGGCTAGCAAGGAGTTTGGAAATTGACCAACACCTAGGTTGAAGATGAAAGGACCCAGTGCCCTGCTACTGCCACTTCTCAGGCCAGATTTGTCAGCAAGTCACTGGTATCAGGTATCAGGAGGGTTCCGGGAAGGGATCTGCAGGGAGAAGGGGAGGTGGGACGGTGGAGGGGCAGCCTCTCCGTTTGGGGGAAGATCCTTGGTGGGAAAGAAGCTCTTGCAAAGTTGGCGACACCGCCTCTTCCTGGTGCTCCTGCACTAGGGTGGCCATGGCTCCAGGGATTTTGGTGGAGGGGGTAGAAGGCGTGGGTGGAGCTAAGGTCACAGCTGCCAGGGCTTGTGCCCCCTGACTCACCAGGTCCTGCTGGATGACATTTGATGTTGAAAGGGTGTCTCCATTTCAGCTGCTCACTACCCTTCCACCTCCCTCTTGTTTCAACACCTTCCTCTGCACTGACTTTTCCCTAAGTCCCAGAAGGGGCCAGAGTCCGAGAAGCCAGCTGCCCAGAAAAGCTGCAGATCTGACACCGTCTAGAGGACAGGACCTTCCGACAGAGCTTTCCTCTGCTCCCTCCAGGATGACCTTGTGGTAGACCCCAGAACTGAGGCCCCAGGATGGCGGAACCTGAGACCCTGTCCCTGCTGGAAATGAAGGGGCCCGAGACGCCCAAGAGCCCACCTCAGGCTTTGGTCCCCAATGGCCGGCAGCCAGAGGGGGAATGCGGAACCGAGTCCCCTGGAGCTGAGTCCCTCAGAGCCGAGTCTGCAGTTGGCTCTCCCACGGCCAGAGATGGAACTGAAGATGGTCTAGACAGTACCGTAAGTGAGGCTGCCACCTTGCCCTGGGGGACTGATCCCCAGCCCAGTGCCCCGTTCCCGGATCCCCCTGGCTGGAAGGTCATCGAACCAGAGCCTCTGGAGTGCGAGCCACTTACCAAGCCAGAGGAGCCACCTGACGATGATGCCAACCTGCTCCCTGAGAAGGCGGCCCGGGCCTTTGTGCCCATCGACTTACAGTGCATTGAGAAGCGGCCCCAGGAGGACCTCATTGTGCGCTGTGAGGCGAGCGAGGACAAGCGCCAGGCCTTCCTGCCCACCCGGGCCACCCACCCAGAGCCCCTTGAGCGAAAGTGGGCGGAGGCCGTTGTGAGGCCGCCTGGCCGATCCTGTGGGGGCTGCGGGAGCTGTGGAGGCCGCGAGGGGATAAGGGCGGTGGCCTCCGTGGGAGCGGCCCTCATCCTCTTCCCCTGCCTTCTGTATGGGGCCTATGCCTTCCTGCCCTTTGATGCCCCACGGCTGCCCACCCTGAGTTCCCGCCTGGTCTACACACTGCGCTGCGGGGTCTTTGCCACCTTCCCCATTGTGCTGGGTGAGTCTGGGCCCTGGGACAAGGGACATCCAAGAAGTGGACTTGAGGGGAAAGAGGCTGCCTGGCTTGGGAGGAGGGTTTCCCTTCATTCAGCCTGAAATCACCATCCTCCTGGCTCGGCCTCCTGAGTAGTGGGGACCATAGGTGGGCTCCACCCCAGCCTTCCATACCTGCTGTTCTGGACGTCCTCCTCCGTCCACCTCTCCCACTGTGCACAGCCCGGGCCCCTGAGCCCTCTCCTATGAGTCTTCCCGCCTTTAGCTCCTTCCTCCGGCCCACTCTGCCCGTGTGCTTCCCCACCCACCCAGGGCTCCTGGTGTACGGGCTGAGCCTGTTGTGCTTTTCCGCCCTCCGGCCCTTTGGAGAGCCCAGGCGGGAGGTGGAGATCCACCGGCGGTACGTGGCCCAGTCCGTCCAGCTCTTCATCCTGTACTTCTTCAACCTGGCCGTGCTGTCCACCTACCTGCCCCAGGACACCCTCAAGCTGCTCCCTCTGCTCACCGGTCTCTTTGCCATCTCCCGGTGCGTAGGGGCTGGGGGGTGAGCTTGGGGTGGGGGATGGTGCTACAGGAGCCGGGCACCCGAATGTCTGTCTGGAAAGCTAGGGTCAGGGGCTTCCTGGATTCTGCAGCAGCCCAGATGTACACCCTGGAGAGATGAATCGCTTTTTCTCTCTTTTGAAGTGGACTTAAACACATTAAATTAAATTATTTAATTAATTTCTTATTTATAGGTACTGGGGATTGAACCCAGGGGTGCTTAACCACTGAGCCACATCCCCTGTCCTTTATATATTTTGTGAGATGGGGGTCTCCCTAAGTTGCTTAGAGCCTCGATAAATTGCTGGAGCTGGCTTTGAACTCGCTATCCTCCTGCCTTAGCCTCCCACTGGAAGATCCTCTGGGAGTAGAGGCGTGTGTCACCATGCTCTGCCTAATTTTCTTTACCTGTGGTAGTACGGATTGAACCCAGGGCATCCCACATGCTAAGCAAGTGCTTTACCATTGAGCTCTACCCCCAGCCCTTTTTATTTTTTATTTTTTTTATTTTGAGACAGGGTCTTACTAAACTGCCCAGGCTGGCTTTGAAATCATGATCCTCCTAGTTCAGCCTCCTGAGCAGTGAGGACTATAGGCGCGCACCACCGTGCCCAGCCTCGGGTGTTGGTGAGACCAGTGCAGCCACTCCAGGACTCTGCTGTGGCACTCCAGTCAGGCAGCTTGAGACTTGAGCCTCCAGTGGAACACCAAAGGCTCAATTCTTTTTAAGGCAATCTGTTTCCATTTTTAAAGGTCCTGATTGTTAGAAAGTTCTTTATACAGTGCTGTGCCAAAAACTTCTGCCCTGACTGTGACCTCCAAAATTGTCCAGGACAAACTCCGATATTTAACAACAGCTCTCAATTCCTCCCACTGTCTCCGAATGACCCTGTTCCCCTCACTGACCTGGATCCTTCTCTCTGGGCAGGAAATTCTCCTGTTTATCAATGAGGAGGGACCTTGGTCAAAGGTACAATTTGTCCTTTTCATAAAAAGTGAGGCCACATGAACTTTCACGCAGCCTCATTTCCCTCCTTTCATTCAGAGTTGCAGTCACTTGAAATCCTTAAGGGTGTTTTTGTTGTTACTGTCCTAGCGATTAAACACTGAGCTACTCCCCCAGTCCTGAGGATGTCTCCACGGGGACTCCTGTTAACCCAGAAGGCACCTTTGAATCTCTGAACCCAAATGAAAGTCATGACATCCTCTCCTGATACATCTCTTCTGCTACTTTCAAGACAGGATGCCCCGTAGCTGAAACTGCTAAAATAGTCTTCCTGTTGAGCTAAAATTAGTCCTCTCACCACGTCTTCTTCTTTTCAGTTGTAGATGGACACATTACCTTTATTTTATTTATTTTTTGTGTGTGGTGGTGAGGATTGAACCCAGTGCTTCACCTGTGCGAGGCAAGCGCTCCGCCACTGAGGCCCAGCCCCAGCCCCAGTCTTCTCGCCACTTCTGATTGTCGTCTGGCGTTCAGCTGTCCCACCAGCCTCCCGACCCTCATGCAGCCTTGCATTTTATCCCAGTAGATTTCCCTAAGATAAATATATTCCCGCTCATGTAACTAAACTTCCCATCTCTGACCCTTGGGAATACTGGCCTCAGAAACTGGTTTAGGCTGGGCACGGTGGTGCACACCTGTTATCCCAGCAGCTCAGGAAGCTGAGGTGGGAGGATTACAAGTTCAAAGCCAGCCTTAGCAATTTAGCAAGACCCTGTCTCAAAATAATAATAATAATAAATAAAAATAAGAAGGGCCTGTAATCCCAGCAGCTCAGGAGGCTGAGGCAGAAGGACTGCAAGTTCAAAGCCAGTCCCAGCAAAAGCCAGGTGCTAAGCACTCAGTGAGACCCTGTCTCTAAATAAAATACAAGATGGGGCTGGGGATGTGGCTCGGGGTTAAGCCCTGTTGGGTTCAATCCCTGGTACCAAAGGGGAAAAAAAAGGAAGTTGGCTTAAGCAGTAAGAATCATCAGGAAACTAAATGAAAAGTAAGTGATTGTGTGGTCCAGGCTTCCCATTCTACAGAGAGGAAATCACAAACAGATCGCAGGAAAAGAGTTGCTCAAGTTGGTTAGAACAGCACAGGACTAGGATCCTGGCCCTTTTCCTCTTCCATCCAGAGTGCATCCTTTTCTATTATGAGAAAGTTCTTTTTTTTTTTTTTATAATTTTTCCTTTTTTTTTTAAAGAGAGAGAGAATTTCTTAACATTTATTTTTTAGTTCTCGGTGGACACAACATCTTTGTTGGTATGTGGTGCTGAGGATCGAACCCGGGCCGTACGCATGCCAGGCGAGCGCGCTACCGCTTGAGCCACATCCCCAGCCCATGAGAAAGTTCTTTAAGCATCTTGTATCTCAGTTTCATCATCTAGAAAATGGAATTGTGAGGATTAAATGAATTCATGTAGAGAGCTCAATCTGGAGCTTGGTTAGGACTCCCTAAATGTGAAGTCTAATGCCAGCTGCCTCCTAGTGTAGTAGATGGGAATCATCTTCTTTCCTTTTTACTTAAAAGGAACAAGAACCTGTAAATTTTGAAATACATCATTCCTCACACATTAAGAGGAAGTTGTTCTTTCCTACCCAATTGAGGAAGTGCTTTTTTCGCTTGTTTGTTTGTTCTTTGTTTTATTTTTTGTACTGGGGATCAAATCCAGAGGTGCTTAACCACTGAGCCACATTCCCCGCAATTTTTTTTTTTAATATTTCATTTTGAGACAGGGTCTCACTAAGTTGCTCAGAGTCTGGCTAAGTTGCTGAGGCTGTCTTTGAACTCCCAATCCCCCTTGCCTCAGCCTCCCAAGCCACTGGGATTACAGGCATGTGCCACCATGCCCAGCCGAGAAAGTGTGTATTTTGAGTGGATCTTCCAAGAGGGCAAGTTTTGTTGTGAATGATCTATCCCTCTTGACTTCAAGCCCTTCCTTATTGTCCTCTTTTGCTTCTCTAACACATTGGACGAGGAAGTAATAAACAGCCTTGGGTTCAGATCATAGCTTTGCTATTTCCCAGCTGTTAACTTGGAGCCCTGGGGAATCTTAGTTGCTTCATCTGCAAAAGGATAGATACAATCAAACACACTGCAGCTGTAAAAGAATGAGGAAACTATTTATGTACTGATATAAAATGATCCCCAAGATATATAAAAGGAGAAAAGTCAACTTACTAGCATCTATACAGCTGGGCGCACACCTGTAATCCCAGAGGCTCAGGAGGCTGAGGTCAGAAGATCACAAGCTCAAGACCAGCCTCAGCAATTTAGTGAGGGCCTAAGCAACTAAGACCCAATCTCGAAACGAAAATAAAAAGTGCTAGGGATGTAGCTCAGTGGTAAAGCACCCTGCGTTCAATTCCCAGTACAAAAAAAAAAAAGGAAAAAGAGAACTTTTTGTTCAGACTTGGGCTGTAAAGTGCTTGTGTAGTACACACAGGGCTCTGAGTTTGAATCCCAGCACTACATACAAACTTTCTGTTGTATGTGTATAAAATCACTCAGTGCACAAGAAGCCATAATTAATTGGATACTTAGGGTGGGAGTCAGGGAGGAAAATAGGATGGGAACCATTGAATCTTTTTTTTTTTTTTTTTTTTGGTACTGGGGATTGAACCCAGGGGCACTCAACCAGGGAGCCACATCCCCAGCCCTTTTTTGTGTTTTAGTTAAAGACAGGGTCTCACGGAGTTGCTTGGTGTCTCCCTAAGTTACTCATTGAATCTTGAACCATGTGAATGTATATTGCCCACTCAAAAATTTTTATTGAAATTTGGAAAGTAACTGAAAGCAACTCAGAGGGATGCGGGAAGTCAAAATTAAATAGTGCACTTGAATTAGCCCTGTTCCTGGCAGAAAACCCGCACCTGCCTTCTCCCTCTAGTCTTGCGGCGTCAGCTCTTGCCCCCTGGCTGACTTGCCAGACCCTTGCCGTCCCCCCCTGCAGGCTGATATACTGGCTGACCTTCGCCGTGGGCCGCTCCTTCCGAGGCTTCGGCTACGGCCTGACGTTCCTGCCGCTGCTGGCCATGCTGGTGTGGAACCTCTACTACATGTTCGTGGTGGAGCCAGAGCGCATGCTCACTGCCTCCGAGAGCCGCCTGGACTACCCCGACCACGCCCGCTCCGTCTCCGACTACAGGCCGCGGCCCTGGGGCTGAGCGAGCCGCCCGCCCGCATGCTTTTCTGAACCCAGCTACGGGCCTGGGCTTTGTCCCCAGCCCTGGGACCTTTGTGGGAGGAACCAGAGCCTCGATTAACCCTTGCTCCCTCTTAGCCGCTGTTGTCCTTCACCTCTGAGGCTTGGCACCGCCATCAAGGAGGGACTTTTCTTGCAGGGAAACAGGTGGACAGCCTTGTCCCTTGAGGATGCTGAGGACACATGGTCCAGAGGCATGGTTCCTTCCTGAGCAATCTCCTACTGCCATTAGGGCTCCCTAAGGCTGGACTCTGTCCCGCTCCCCAGCTCTGTGAGGCAGGAGGCAGAGCCAGAGCCAAACCCTGACTCTTTCTGTGCCAGTTGGACCATGGGAGGAACTCAAGGAGGATGGAGAAACCGCTGTGCCCAAGGAAGAGGCTGCATCAGACCAAATGAGGACTTTCACATTTGGTGAAATTCTTGGGGTCCTGGGTTTGGGACTGGTCTTAAAGGCTTGTTAGTCTCAAAACTATTCTAGCCGCCCCCATCCAGAGCTACTGCCTCCTCCCTTACAACCTAGGTACACCCCTGTAACTTTCCACCTCCAAACATTCCAGATGTCACACTACCCACGGGAAGAGGGGTCAGGGAAATCTGGCTCCCAAGAGGAGTGTGTGTACCCACATGTGTGGTGGCTGGGGAGTGGTTGGAAGGCACAATGGTGCAAGTGTTTGTGTATGTGTGTGTGTGAGACAGAGTTGCTTTCAGTTACTTTCCAAATACCACCCCTGCATTGGCTCTTTCTTCCTATTTGTCCCTCCCCTGCCCAATCCCAGGTATCCCTTCCTTATTTGATTCAGACAGCACCAGAAACCTTCTGGGTCCACCTGGTACGCAGCTGGCAGGAGCTGTGGTTCCACATGGAGGGAGAGAACCAGACCTGGTGGAAATGGGGTCTCAAATAAAGTGGTCTTCCAAACCCATCTCTTAGCCCTCCCACTCCCTGAAACCAGCCCCAAGTGAACCCCACAATATCAACGTGCTGAGAGACTAGAACCTTGTAGAAAAAAGATAAGTCTTATTTCGTACCCTCCAGGGTCACTCTTAGTTTAACAAAACTTTGAGTGTCAACCAAGAAGTAGGGATGACACAAGTAAACACCACCAAGGGGACCTTTTAGAAATAACCCTGACCCCAACCCCAGGAAGTGGAAGTTCGTTTCTGAAGTTCTGCAGAAAAGTGCCACGGGAGGGGACGGGCCAGCTGGAACATTGGCCCTCCAACCGCCAGCAGTCCGAGGAGGCACGGCAAGGCACGTCCAGGAGGGTCCTTCCCTCCGGACAGCAGGTCTCAATTTATGGACTGGTACTCTGAGTGCTGCTTGTGGCGCAGCAGCAGGACGAGACCTCCCCCCAGCAACAAGAGCCCTGGAGCACCCAGGGCCACTGCCACGATGCCTAGGATTAGCGGGGACAGGGCATCCACAGGAAGGGAGCCCATACCCAGAAGCATTGACCTAGAGCAAGAGAGGGAGAGAGAAGTTCGTGGGTGAGGCCAGGCTGGGAGGCAGCCCTCCTCCACTTCAACACCCCCGCCCCCCGCAGTCCCGGCTCGGGCTCTCACCAGCTCAGGTAGTGTTGGTCCCAGTAGCCAGGGCCCGTGGGAGCCCCAAATGTCAGGTTGAAGGAACAGAAGTTGCTCTGCGACCTGAAGAAGGCTTGGACAATGGGTGACTGGGGAAGGGAGTACTCCAAGCTGGGGCGAAGAGGAGAAGCCTGGCAGGGCAGGGCTGACTCTCGGCTCCTCTGCTTCTGGGAGAAAGCCACTGGTCGCCACTGCAGGAAGCCAGACGGGAGGGGGCCCCACAGCAGCTGGTCCACCTGAGGAGAAGGGCAAGCAAGGCAGGGTGAAGAGGGGGCCTGTGCCAGACGGACCCTTGTCCTCCCTGCCTCTCTCAGTCTCCATCTGTCACTAGCAAGGAGCGTGCTAAGAGCAGCAGAATCCCGAGTCCTGGGCTCGGTTCTAGAACTGACAGGCTGCCTGCACCAGAGCCCTGGTCTCTCTTCTGAAGGGCTCTTGGGCTGGATGAGCACCGGGTCCTGTTCCGGCCCTGCAGATCGGCACCAAGCTCCCTCCCCTACAACCCCAGGCCTTCTGGGGAGCTTGGGTCACACTGCACTGCCTTTGGCTGTCCCCCTTGAGGGTAGAGACTGAGGGGGATTCAAAGTGCCCAGTACTTAAAGCCTCCAGAGAAAGTTGCCAACTGATAAACAGTTGAACAGCTCTGAGGTCCTCACAGGGTCCTGCCTGCTTTCCCACCCATCTGCCTCTTGCTTGGAAGTCTGACCTGGAAGACAGCAGGTGCATACTCATCGTCGATGGAGTGCTGCTCCCGCCTTGAGGGACAGTCGGGCCTCTGCCCCACAGTGACTACTTCCAGCCCAAACAGGGAGTGGTTTCCTCTGGGAGAAGCCCCAACCAGGGCCACTTCTAGCTGGCAGGCGTCTGCGGTGTGCAGGAGGCGAGGGGGTTGGGCAGGTCGGCCAGAGCTGGAAAAGGCCTGGACCTAGGAAAGGGGAGGGATGGAGGAGGGGGACGATGGCCCATACTTGTGCTTAAGGGTTTCCCCATCATGAACTCTCACCTCGTAAACCAGTCCTCCGAGTTCCTTCTCTTTCCCCACGCCCTTACCTTGAAGGCCAGACTGCCATTGGCAAAAGCCCCGCTAGGGTCGTTCACAGGGTGGCCTTGGAAGGTGGCACTCAGGCTGGCAGGATCCAGTGAGTCAGTGATGTTGTTCCAGGAGAACTCGGCCAACGAGTACGGAGGGTACGGTTTTCCCAGGGGCTCTGCCGCCACATCCAACATGTTGGTGCCGTCGAACTCCAGCAGCTGGGGGTGGGTGGTGGAGCTGGGTTCGCCACAGTCTAGCTTTCTCCCAAGTCCCCCGTCCCACTCCATACCCACCCCCAAGCTCCCCAGTCCTCAACCCCTCCCTCTAGTTGGGAGGAGCCCCTCCTCGGTGCCCTTGGCCTCGGTCGCCCCCACCTCCTCACCCTGGTGAAGATAAGGGCAGAAGAAAACTGGACGCTGTCCTCCGGGAGAACCCTCAGGCCCCCATCAGGCTTGGGGGACAGCAGGCGACTCCAGTTGACGTTAAGGACACTGTGGGGGGTGTCGGTGGCCACCAGCACCACGGCTGGAGGCCCGAGGCTGCTCCACACATAGTGCAGGGTGGAGTTGGGGCCCACTGCCCGGATGTGAAGCAGGCTCTGGGGGAGGCCTGGCCAGCCGGAGATGACCTCCAGGGACACCTGGAAATTGGAGGAGGGGAGGGTGGAGGGGACAGATCCGGGAGAGACACAGGCAAAGACCAACTTGAGGGAGGGGAGAGGGGCTTGGAGGACGATTGGGGAAATCACGGCCAGTGAGAGCCTGGGAGAGGAATGGATGTGAGCCCAGGGAACCGCGGGGTGAGGGCGAAGCAGGATGAGCCAGACCTGAGGGGAGGGGGCCAGGGCCCAGCCCAGAGGAACACAGAAATCCCACACGCCCTGGACCTGGGCTGAGCCGGGGTCCACTCAGAGCAGGGAGTCGTCCTACTCTCCACCCACTCCACAGTCCTTCCCTTGAGCCAGGGATGCCCCCCTCCTCCAGGCTCAAAAACACTTCTCTCTGCAGTCACCCTCCATCCCTTGGGCGCCCCACACTCCAGCCACCCTGGAAAGGCAGCACTCCCTGACACCTCCATGGCTCTAGTCCCCAAGTCCTCACCTGGCGGGTCTCCCCTCCCAGAAGGCCGAGTGGAGCTGTGCACAGGAGGCTCAAGAGAAGCAGGGAGCTGGGGGCATGGGGACCCCAACCCCAGTGGGGCTCCCCACAGCCGCACATGCAGGTGGCAGCCGATTCAGTTGGTGGAAGACACGGGAGAGTCATGTGACTCGGATTCAGCTGATCCCTTTAGAGGGTGGGGCCGGCTGCTGCACCAGTTCTTAAAGGGACCGCCTCCCTTCACCCAGATTCCAGCTGCGTTGGAACAGAATCAGAGAAAACATCATCCCCAAATGGAGTCGGCAAGCACAAATTTCCAGGTCATGTGTGCAGACAGCATTCCTAGCCTCTCCTACCCGCTCAGTCCCACTCAACAGTTATTTGTAATGAGCATGATGTCTGGATTCAAGACACAAAAGGGATCTGAATAATGACTAATAGAAAGGTCCAGAGAAGAACCCAGAGGGTTTTTTTCAACCTAATATTTATTGAACACTGAGGTATGCATCCTGGAAGAATTCACAATTGTATTGAGAAGATACCTGAAGGAAGAAGATAGGAAAGCAATACATTTATTGGTCAAGAGGGAAACCACACCTGGCCAAATGCATGCTTTTTGATGTTTTTGCTTAATTTTAAATCATTATTTATTTATTCATTTATGGGTATGGGTGCACTTGACCACTGAGCCACATCCCAAGCCCTTTTTATATTTTACTTTGAGACATGATCCTGCTAAATTCCTTAGGGCCTCACTAAGTTGCTGAGGCTGGCTTTAAACTTGCCATCCTCCTGCCTCAGCCTCCCCAGCTGCTGGATTATGGGTGTGCGCCACCATGCCCAGCAATCTTGAGTTATTTTGATTAATAAATGCACATAGTACAAAATTTGAAAGGTGCAGTAAACTGGAGCCTACTGAGACAATCACCACTCACCATTCCCAGTTTGTCTTTCCCTCCCACCATTCCCCCTTCCCTTCCTATCTTATTCTTCCTCTCTCTCTCCTTGTTTCTGAGTTTCTGGAGATTTCTTTCTGTGCTTTGGGAGATGGATCTCAAGGGCTTGTACATGCTAGATACCTGCTTTACCACTAAAGTACATACCCAGTGCCCCCGCCCTTTTGAGGGTGTACTGGGAATTGAACTCAGGAGCACTCAACCACTGAGCCACATCCTCAGCCCAATTTTGTTTCCTTTTTATTTTTTTTTTCGGGGTGGGGGGGCTGGGGATGGACTCAGGAGCTCTCAACCACTGAGCCACATCCCCAGCCCTATTTTGTATTTTATTTAGAGACAGGGTCTCACTGAGTTGCTTAGCACCTCGCCATTGCTGAGGCTGGCTGTGAACTCGAGATATTCCTCTCTCAACCTTCTGAGCTGCTGGAATTACAGGCATGTGCCACTGCATCTGGCCTATACCCATCCCTTTTAATATTCTATTTTGACCTGGGCGCAGTGAAACACTTCTGTAATCTAGAAAGGTGGGAGACTAAGGTGGGAGAACCACAAGTTTGAGATCAGATTGGATAATTTAACAAGACCTTGTCTCAAAATAAAAAGGGCTGGGAATGTAGCTCAGTGGTAGAATGCCCATGGCCTTAATCCCTGGTACCACTAAACATAAATATCTTTTTTTTTTTGTATGTGTGGTATTGGGGATTGAACTCGGGGGCTCAGCCACTGAACCACATCCCCAGCCTTATTTTGTGTTTTATTTAGAGACTCACTGAGCTGCTTAGCAGCACACCATTTCTGAGGCTGGCTTTGAACTTGCAGTCCTTCTGTCTCAGCCTCCCTAGTGAGTTGCAATGAATTACAGGCATGAGCCCCGGTGCCCGCCCAAAAATCTTATTTTGATATAGGGGCATCTTGCTGAACTGCACAGGCTGACACTGAATTTGTGACCCCATCTCAGAGATTGTAGGAGATGTCACTCCATCTGGCACCAGTATTTCCCCCTAACCCCTGCAGTATTTGGAATTGAATCCAGAACTGTGCACATCCTAGGCAAATGATCTACCAAGGAGCTACACCCTCAGCTCTTTTACATTTTCTCCCTAAGTTTCCCGGGCTGGCCTTGAATTTGCAATCCTCCTGCCTTTGCCTCCCAGATAGTTGAGATTGCAGGCATCTATCGCACCCAGTCATTACCAGTTTCTTATGCATTATTCTATGTATACTAAAGA